AGGAACACCCTTGCTAGTTACATCATTACAATCATCAACACCATTGCCCTTCTTCTTGTAGCATGACTCTCCGCACCTCAGGCAGTCCTTCAAGTTTTCAAAATCTTTCCTATATAATATGCAATCATTATGACATGCATGTATTTTGACATAGTCCAAACCCATTGGACACAATATCTTCTTGGCCTCCTAAGTATGGTTTGATAGCGTGTTACCTTCGAGAAACATTTCTTTCAACAATTCAAGTAATTCAGTGAAACTTTTATCCGTCCACCCACCTCTTACCTTAAGATTAAATAGTCTTAACACAGCCAACAATCTTGTAAAAATTTTACATCCCGGATACAACGAATCTTCCATGTCTCTTCGCAAAGTATCTACCAATGATGTCTTCATGAAAGAATCAACTTCAATATCACGAGTGATGTCTTCTAGAGTATCATTCATAACTTCACCATCTTCAAGTGTATGTGACAGAGATCTCTTTTTTGTCACTTCACCATGTCATACCCCTTTTGTGTAATTTTGAATAATTCTATCACAACCACAATGATTGAAAATAACATCCCTATGCTATTTTGTTGTATTAAAGAAATTTTTACAATGACGATAAAAAATCCCATTATTTTCAGGAAGGTTTTTTTTCCAGCGAAATCAAAATATTGTTTTAATCCATTCTCATAATCTACACTTAATCTATCGACTTTCATCTAACTACGATCCATAATCACATAAAACTTCTGAAAAAAATAAAAATAGTACACATCCATAATACACAAGAACAACAATAATGGAAAATAACAAGAACAACATTAATAGACCAAAGCAACAACAAGAATAACAATAATAACACACCAGAGAATAAGTGTTCTTTCGCTAGGGCTCCTTGGAGAATAAGTGTTCTTTCGTTGGCTGGAGAAGAAGTGCTCTTTCGGTAGGGCTCAAAAAGTGAATGAAAAACAAGAACAACATTAATGGAGAATAATAAGAACAACAATAATAGATCAAAGCAACAACAAGAACAACAACAATGATAATAACATACAGGAGAATAATGGTGAAAGAGTTTTTTCGTTCGCTATGGCTCCGCGGAGAAGAATTGTTCTTTTGCTAGCATTCCTATGGAAAAACCATTTAACAACGGTTGGGAAAGATATTTAATCACGCGGCCCTAGGCGTTGTTATGTAGAGTGTCGTTGTATATATGATACTTACAATCATGACTCGGTAACCATTGTAATAAACTAGAAAGCGTGCTCCCTATCACAATGGGTTTTCCAAAAGACCGTTGTGATAAAAATAATTTTTTCTAGTCAGCGCGCGAGATATTATAACAATTATGATATATAACCGTTGTTAAATTTTCTGCATAATTAACAAATATTATCCTGTTTTTATAATTAATCTCATTTTTAACTTGTATTATTGTTCACCGTATTACAGCAGAAAATACAACTCACATTTGTGATAAAGTTATCATAATAATATTAATTGTATAATATTCATAATATGACATAATTGTATCATATTCAATACACCATAACATCATCACAAGAATCCAAGGTAACCAATACATCAACCATTACACCATCAGACAACATACAAACCTAATCAATTATAACCTATTTTGTTATTGTTGTTACAACAAATACAATAAACACTAAAAATAAAATAAAAATCCAGGTAATCTTCAACTGTTTCTTCAGGATCTTCACCTTCAACTTTAATTCGTCCTCCTTGGCTTTGTAGGTGTTAACCATCTCCTTCTCCTCATTCAAGTTCTTTACCAATGAAGAAATTATTTGTTTTGCCTTAGGACCCATCTCCTCATCCAACCAAGCAAAGTGAGAGCATTTTTTGTATCCTTGAATCTTATACATCCCACAACCATAGAAACGGCAATCTGGATTCGAATCGGTCCATGTCGTCATCAACGGAGCGTCGAGACCACACTTGCATACGTACCTTGAACAACTTGAGAACCTGCTTCCATGGCTACAACCGAACTGCTGAGACATTTTAATGAAAGGATTTGATGGAAACTTGAAGAAACAGGGTGAGAAGAAGATGAATAGTGACTGGGGGGAAAAGAAGACAAAAAATAATTCAAAAGGATCAAGAACGCAAGATATAATAAACAAAAACAACAACATTAATGTTTCAAGATACACATTTTTTCAAATTAATCGTGGATGTCGAACAAATTATGAAGTTCATCTAGTTTATGAAGCTAAGAAGAAGAAATATAAGGTGAATAAAGTTTACACAATAGCTTCACACTTCTTCTATTTCTCTTCATAGCTACACAAACCATATGTGTCATAGCCAAAGTATGCGCTTTGTTAAGATGGTGAAGACCAATTTTAAAAAAATGAGAACATTCACCAAATGAAAAAATGAGAACCCATTTTTAACAAGAAACGTAAACGAAATTGCAGCATAAGTTTAATCAACGAACCTCAAGTTAGCGATTGGTGAAGACGAATCTGAAGACGTATTTGAAGGTTGAAGTATGTTTAAAAGGTGACATGAATGTTAGGGTTATGTTATGAGAGAGAAGAGTGAAATATGTTAGGATTTTCTTTTGAGAGAACTAAATGTTATATACTGACAATAGATACTTTCGCTTATATACTAAAAAATATCACTTTTCATATCACGGTTAGAAAGAAAAACCGTGACGCAATTTTCAAATTTTACAACGGTTGGTTTACTTCACCGCTGTAAAATAATTTACAATTTATTTTTTAAATAATGAAGTTAAGTGACACAGGCTTAATGTACTATAAAAAATGAAAAAAATGTAGTTGCTGGAAATCGAAGCTTTCTACACATCATTAATTACTACTGTGTTTTAAGACAACCGTCATCAAATTATTCTTTATAAATCCAACTACTCACTGGGTGTGAAAATTTTGACCTATTACAATAGTGTGTATGAATCCATTGTAAACCTGGTGTTATTGTTTGCGCGTTTTGTAGTAGTATAGGTCTCGAGAAGTGAATGATGTAGACAGTGAGTGAACAAAAAATACTTAAAACTGAGGTAACATATGTCGCGTTAAACTTTAAAAATAAAGGCGCCTTTTTGGTTCCAAAAAGAATAAAATCTATGAAAATTAAAGGCGCTTTTTTGGTTCCATATAAAACATAAAACTGCAGGAACTGAGAATCAAATATCAAATACTGAGCATATTGTTATGTCTCTTTTAAAAAGAACCGAGTAACATATTGATTTTTTTTATTAAAAAAAAACAAGACGCTCTTGTTCCATACACCCTCGATTTTATATTGTTCGTTATGAAAATTTTGTCATAAAAATATTATTTGTTGTAATATTTGTACATCAACCAAAAACATATTTCATATAAATAGTTTCCGAAGGATTTTTACATATAAATTTTCCTTCAACCTAGAGATGATTTTTCCACCCGTTGTAGTTGGCAATAAAGAAAATGTGGAAACTATGTTTGGAAAATAAGAAAAATCGCAGATGAAGATAACAAATGAAGTAGTAAAAAATATCATACACCATTATGCTACACATGATTAGGGATGACAATGGACAGGGTGTGGACAGGATACTATAATACTCATCCTCATATCTGCGATTTGAAAAAATACTCGTACTTGAATTCATACCCGCTTGAGAGTCAAAGTTAGTCCCATACCCGTGCCCCATGGGTATGTAAATACAAATATCTATTACCCGCGTTCCTAATAAAAATAAATAGATCAATTATAAAATATATATCATTTTAAGTTTTTTAAAACATTAAAAAAATTTCAAAAAATATATTATTAAAATAAACAAACATTTATAATAAATACGTGATGGTTTAACATTGATATACTTTTTAAAATTAATAATATATATTTTTTAATAATAACATAAATTAAATACATAAATATATATTATGCAGGTATGAGGCAGGATAAGTATTAAGGTGCTCATACCCGTTTATTTTTTTGAATAATTACCTGAATTCGTGCTTGTACCCATTTTTATGAATTTTTATCCTATCTATTATGAGTAAATTTGCGAGTGCTCTCTAAGGATGGATCAAATTGTGATCCCTAGACACGATCCCTTATATATTTTTCAAGTAGAATGAGAGTAAAAAAAATGTTTTTACCATTATTAGAAATGTGGAATATAATTTCCAAAATTGATTATATATAAATAGTACCCTTTTTTATATTTCTTTTTGTGTGTGGATTGAATCAAAATAGTACCAATATAATTTCAAAATTAATTTTATATAAATAATTGATACTTTTGATAATTAAAACGTAAATGTTACTCATTGTCTATTTAGATTTAATTGAAATTAAAATAAATTGTAATTAATTCATTAAGATTTAATTAATTTCAATAAATTAAAATTTAATTATCTAGACATTTAAAATAATTTAATTTTCATCAAGCTCATTTATTTGAATAAATTCATATATATGTTATAATTATATATATGTTTTCTTTAATTAATTTTTTTTTATATTTCTTTAATTGATTTTTTATTTATAATAATAGATTTTGATTCATTATTCATTTAAGTTCATTTATTTGAATCTATTCAAATATATGTTGTATTTATATATTTTTTAATTCAAATATGTGCAATTGAAGACAAATAATGAATAGATTAGCTAAAATAAGTACTAGTAGCTAGTGGGAGCAAAAACTAACAAAAAAAAATTGAAGAGAAAAAGAATTCCTTAACCACCCTATCTTAACCTACCAAATAAGATTTATTCTAACAAAAAATAAAAATACAACATTAATCAAACTCAAATGATTATTATTTGCACGAGACATTAAATACCAATATAAAACATCCATATATATGATGATAAATATCAATATATCCTATAAACATAAACATGCATATACATATGAACACAACCTCCAAGATATCTCAATACGTTCACATATATATTACATACTTGTATGTATGAAAAAACATTCTCCAAATTATTATCCTCTTTTCCACACCACCATGACCAATGAGTGCGAGTCCCATGAAGACCAAAACCGCATTCGCTACCTATTTTACGGAATCCTCACCTTGATTATCCTTACACTCCTCACAATCTTCCTAACCTGGATCATACTCCGACCAACCAATCCACGTTTCACCCTCCAAGACATAAGGGTCATCGCCTTCAACCTTACCACCACCGGAGAACCACCGTCCCTAACCATCCCAACACTAAACACCGTAACCCTCACAATTCAAGCCACTCTTTCATCCTTAAATCCAAACTCAAAAATCGGCATTTACTATATTAAACTTGACGCCTACGCTTCCTATAGAGGACAACAAATCTCTCTTCCAATTGGACTTCCAGAAACTTATCAAAGTCACGGTGACATCTCCATTTGGTCGCCGATGTTATACGGATTGGCTGTTCCAGTTTCGCCTTACTTGTCGGAGATTCTGCGGCAGGATCTAACTTCAGGTGGAGTTTTAGTGGACGTTAAAGTTAACGGGAGAGTTAGGTGGAAGGTTGGGACTTGGGTTTCTGGAGGGTACCATATTGATGTGAACTGTCCCGCGTTTATTCGGGTTAACGGCAATAAAGGTGGTGACAGGTTCGAAGGTTCTAATCTGGCGGTTAAGTTTCAGTTATCACAAAGTTGTGTTGTTGATGTTTAAGTAATGTGTAAGCAAAGTAATAGGCTATTATTATTATTATTGTAATTCTACCTGTTATTGGTTCTGAAGTTTTAACGATCCTTTACTAAAAATGTTCTCTTTTTCTTTTCCACTTTTCCCTTTTTATTTTTAGGATACAACATTTGAAACTAATTACTATGGAACTAAAACAGTAGGTTAAAGTTCCATGAATCAATTGTAATCTATTATCATACTTGGTTTATGCTGAATTTTGCAAAAATTAGCTGCTAAAGATATATATATATATATATATATATATATATATATATATATATATATATATATATATATATATATATATATATATATATATATATATATATATATATATATATATATATATATATATATATATATATATATATATATATATATATATATATATATATCCTATGAGAATGTTATTTTTATGTGAGAATGGGAAAATAAATTTGAACTATTATATTTTAAAATAAATGGTGAAAATTATGTATCATTTTTTTCTCTCTCCTCCATCGTTTATTTTAATAATGGAGAAGAGAAAAAAAAAAACAACCACAAATCACCAAAAAAAAATGGCAAATTGCGACGGTTTATTTTAGTAGGTTATGACTCATGCATCTCCGTCACAAAACGTAAATCACCAAAAAAAAATGGCAAATTGCGACGGTTTATTTTAGTAGGTTATGACTCTTGCATCTCCGTCACAAAACGTAACTTTATTGCCGGTTACTAATCATGAAATTTCGTTTTGATTTTTGTTTTTATTATTGCGACAATAAATTGTGGCGGTTTGAAACCCCGCAAGTTGCAAATATTTAAGAAAAAATTATTAAAAAAAAGTTGTACCCTCAATTTTTTAGCATTAATTTAAAAAACTAAAATAAAAAAATTAAAAAATAAATTCTAACTCTATTCAAACTCTAATAATGTTATAAAAAAATGTTATCACCCTTACAAGAATCGATACACCGAAAACAACAGCAAAAGTTATGTCAGTATTTAAGGTTTGTGAATTATCATCTTCTAAAGACAAGTCCCTCTTATCCGTCAACAAATCTAATAGAAACTTTTTGCATATATTTATCTTCAAATATAAATAAGTAGTAGAAACTTCTATCATCAAATATATGATTGAAACAACAATTTATTTTAGTTCTTCCTTTATGATGATTTGTGCACAATGCACAAAACCTTTATATTTTAGAAGCTCATGGCTTAGCTCCCTCATCAGCTTTATCCTCACTACCTGCAAAAGGGGTTTTTAAATACATTAATAAAACAGTTTCAATGATTCGGTGTTCTTTAAAAAAAAAAAGAAAACATAAATCCCCAGATCAAAACAAACACCTTCAAAGGATTTAACAACACAAAACTGTGATTAAAAAACAAACCTTCAATCTGTAGCTTTGAAATCAAATGAAATCCTATATGCAATTTGAGAATCGTTGATGACCTATGAAGAATGAGAGTAGAGAAGCAAGAGGGGAAAAACTTGTAACTATGAAGCAAGACGCCATGTGACGGATCTATGTGTAAGTCATTGGGGGCACTTGCCCCCACTAGTTTATTTATTTTGTATTAAATAATTAATTATTTTAGTTTAATTTTTCTTAATAATTAAATGTTGCCCCCATAAAATAAATTAATTAATTTTAATTAAACAACTTATTTTTTATGTGACGAAGGAGTATTATTTCGCCCCTACTAATTAATATTCTGGATCCGTCATTGGTCCTATCTGAACTATCAACCAAAAATGATAGTTGATAGAGGGAGGAGGATACCAAATTCCAAAAGTTAATTTAATTATCATATGTACAAAGGTAATGTGATATTTGAAAGGTTCATTACTAAAAGCTAAACACTTTTGGCAACTAACAGATACTACAACTGTACTTGCCACATAATAAGGGAGCATAATATTACCGTGTGTATATATACATATAAAGCCAAGCATATTCATCATGCATACTTTCACAATTCTTATCATTCCACATAAACATTCACATTTATGTTTATTCACCAACGCACAATTATAAAGATGATAAATGCAAATCATAGAGACCGACTCACACTCTATGCAAATGTAATGCGGTACCGACTCAATCATCTCAAGTTCACTCAGGAATTTATTGGAACCATTGCTCGTTACCAATGTAACTCCCCGTCGGGCCTACGACGTTCACTCATTGCTCACACCTCACATAGGCACACAATGTTTATGGATTGCTCACACCTCACATAGGCACACAATCCGATTGCCCATACCTCACATAGGCACACAATCGTTTGTAATCATCGCTCACACCTCACATAGGCACACGATGTTACAACGGATTCTCATTAGAATCACACAACACAAGAATGTACATCATTATGCTTCACATACAAAAATGACTCAAGACACTCTTGAAATACATACATAATCACAATATATTCATGCATTCATCTCATACTATCACATATAATCCATATACATTCACATTTATTACGCCAATGGCCACGAGCATCGCTTTACCACCTAAACGGCAACGAACTCTATCACAATCATCATGCATTTACATTTAATTTAAACAATGCATTTATTTTCCAAAAGGCCACAATTCACAATAAATTCCACAATCTAGGATTCACGTCATACGATTACCCACAACATATCATATAACAGCACACAAGCTACACGATTCGGGAGAAGGTTGATCACATCCGAGTCGAAGAATCGATATTGGATGGAAATAAAAATGAATGTTGTGTTGTCATGCTCGCTAGGCGAGTAGAATGGCGAGCCCTTCGCTACTCCACTCGCTCCAGCGAGTTTTGGTCATTTTGGTTCTGTCCAAGTCTGGGAGTGTTTGCTGGCAGCTCGCTGTATGCTCGCTTAGCAAACACTTCGCTACCTCACTCGCCAGTGGTTCGCCTAGCGAACGCTTCGCTACACAAACCCTCACTCATCCAAAAATGTCAAAAAGTCACAAAATCACCCGATTCCAATCAAACAAGTTCCAATAGTCTCAGTCTAACATTTCTCGACTAAACTACACAATTTATTTCGAATTCTAAGCTTGAAAACATCGATTTCTATCGATTTAACCAATTCGACCTAAAATAGAAATATGTAGAAAAACAGGCAAAACAATCCAAACAACACATACATAATGATATACATTGATGAGATAATAAGATTTCACACCCTTACCAGATTAAATCGATTCCTAGAAGTTGTTTTGAAGATTTCCAAATTTTTTCCTCTTTTCTCTTCTTCCTCTTTCTTTCTCTCCTTTTCCTTCTTTCTTTCTCTTTTCTCTCCTCTTTCTCTCTTATATCTCTCTATTCTAATTCTTTCTATTACTTTTTCTCCCAAAATATCTAATAATTCATTTCCTCACAAAATATCTGACTTAACATTAATTAAGAAATATCTAAAATACCCTCCGATCTAATTTTCTCGAAAACTCTCAAAAACCATAAAATAACACAATATGCAAACATAACATATTAACACACCAATTCCACAAATAACATAATAATCACCCAAATAAAATAAAAGACTCAACAAAAATGGAAATCAGAATTGGGGCGTTACACCTTGCATCAACATGACTGATTTTCGATGACCCAGTCACAAAAAAGCTCTCTTAATACCTGGCATTTTTATATTCTCAATTTTGCAATAGTGTTTTATAAACAACCACAACATCATAATTGTTTTATGATTTAAAAGGTTCTTAATAAATTGAAACAAGATCACGTGCAATATCCAGATGCTTGAAATTCGAAGTTAATTGGGTATAGATGATGATTAATAAGCTGTGACACCTTATCATATTTACTAACCATCTACTGAACTTAATTAAATATACATTTTATTTAAGTCAATCATCTAAAATGTTATCGAAATTTGCTATCAAATTATGTAGAAATATCATTTACGAAGTACCCAAAACATAATTCCAACCTTGATATGAATATAGTCATCTGAACTGCATACATCCACCCCAAAATGTGGCTTATCAAAGCAAAAAAAAAAGACTCTCATGGGAGTGAGATCGCCAAGAACCTTGCCAAGAAAAGCAATGTCGTCATCTTTAATCTTCTCAATATAAGTGACGAAGACATGTTGGATGAACCGAAATCAAACACAAGAGGTGTTGGATGAATCGAAATCGAACCTAAGGTGTTAGATAAACTGAAATTAAATGGAAGAGGTGATGTGTGAATTGGAATCAAATGGGAAATAGGGACAGAGAATATAACCAAACTAAGACTCCATTAGCCAGTAAAAATGGACAACAAAACTAAAATAAAAACCATTACAACAACCACAACAAATCCTCATAGAAGATCATAGTTTCCTAGTTTTCAAGCCACAAAATGTTTGCACGAATAGAAGTGACTAAAAAGACATGTTTGAAATAACTTATTTGTCCTTATGTTAATGCCATAAGACTTATATGTACTTTTAGAAGAAATTGTGAGAAATACTAATGAAATATCCAACTTCCAAAATAAGTTAATAGAAACAACTTACACATGTTTTTTTTCAGAGTTATACATCATTCTCTATTCAATTAAGAATTACATAGAAGCTCTTCAACAATAAGAGCTTAAGTCAATCAAAACATCATACCAACCAATTCATTTTCTCAATAATTATTTCGACAATCAGTCTATGAAGCACGGACACCAAAAACATCACACAGACACATAAAAAACACCAATATTAATATGAAAGTAATGAATAAATTAAACGTATTCTTAAGGGTCGGTGTCGGTTTCGGATAACGACACAAACACATTGCACAAATTAGCTAAATTTCTACAATCTATATGAAGTAAAATCACAAACTAAGCAAAAAAGGGGAAACATGGAGAAAATTGAAAACCCATGAAACAAAAAAAAATAGGATGATTATGAATCAATTATAAAGATAACAGAAATAAGTTAATCAAGAAAAATTGAAAACTCGTACGGGTATTATTGAGAGTAGCAATGATAA